TAGGAGCTGAGGAAGTGGTCTTCCAAATCAGTCATGGAAGCCATGCATGTGCTGTTGAGCTAAATATATAAGCTACCTTGATATTAAATAAATGTAGGTGAGGGCAAAGTTTATCAGATAAATGCAATGTGACAACATCAACCCTGTGGTCTGTCTTTGTAAAAAACTTTGGTATGCAGCGCTCTCACATCCATGACTGGATTAGTAATGTAGGGTCCATTGATAAAGTTTCCTACCTATATAGCAGCCTTCTACAAACTGGTGCCCCCCAGATGTTTTAGACCAACTCCCATCATCCCTGACCATAAGCTATGGTGGACTGGGTTAATGGAAGTTGTAGTTCCACAAAATTTGGAAGGCACCAGGTTAGGAAAGGCAGTATATTAAGTAAGTAAGTAAGTAAGTAAGTAAGTAAAACAGATTGTTTCCTACATTTGGAGGAATAAGCTTTCCAGATTTCATCTTAGCTCTGATCTTCAGTAGGTTCAGTGCAAACCTTAAAATACTTTCATTGGTTGGTGACAGAAGTTTACAGTATTTACTGTTGCTGTTCAAATCACCTAATATCAGCAATAAGACCCTGGCATTGGGTAAAGGAAATCTCATGATGAGATTCTTATGATAACCCAATAGGATAATCTTGATTTTTTAAAAAAATATTATTCTGCTCCAGAAATTTCTCCTCTGGTGGTATGAAGTCAGATTCAACAGGTACACACTGCCATCTAAAGGCCAACATTTGTGTTCTTGCTAGCAACATGGACTCCAGGCTTTCGTCAGATTCACTGGACCTCCTCGTACTCTCAGAGCTAAAGATCCAGTTGGAGTCTGAAATTTAGCTAATCCTGTCTGCAAAAGAAGCAGGTGTCCTTCTCACTCTGCGCAAATTGAGAGTGGGGGAGACTCCCACACAATCACGTTCATCTCAGTCTCAGGTTTGCAGGAGACATCCTAGACAAAAATGAATTCATTGACTATCAAGTACTCAACTAGATAGGTATCTTTTGTTAAGCTGCTTAAAAACAGGTCTGACTTATCAACAGCTCAATTCCAGTGAAAGAAGAAGAAGAAGAAGAAGAAGAAGAAGAAGAAGAAGAAGAAGAAGAAGAAAAGAGTTTGGACTTGATATCCCGCCTTTCACTCCCCTTAAGGAGTCTCAAAGTGGCTAACATTCTCCTTTCCCTTCTTCCCCCACAACAAACAATCTGTGAGGTGAGTGAGGCTGAGAGACTTCAGAGAAGTGTGACTGGCCCAAGGTCACCCAGCAGCTGCATGTGGAGGAGCGGGGAAGCGAACCCAGTTCACCAGATTAAGAGTCCACTGCTCTTAACCACTACACCATGCTGGCTCCCAGCCTCCAAAGTTTCTCCAAAGAACACTAGAAACAAGGGCTGTGTCTAGAGCAAGCAAAATATGACCCATGTGGACTCACAATATGAAAAATGTGCCGCGTACGTAGGATAACAGAATCAAACATCAAGGGTAGGAAAGAATTTGGAGGTCAACTAGACTGACTTGATCCTGGAATCCATGGAGCACCCCTGGCCAAAGACCCACCATCTTCTGCTTCAATACCTCCTGCGAAGAAGATGCCACAGAGGAAGTCTGCCCCACAGTTGAAGAACGCTGACTGCTAGACTGTTTCTCCTAATATTTATCTGAAATCTCAGATGTCTTTAAAAAAGGATTGAACAAATTCATGGAGGATAAGGCTATCAATTGCTGCCAGCCATGACAGCTACTGAGAGCCAGTGTGGTGTAGTGGTTAAGAGCAGTAGTCTTGTAATCTGGGGAACCGGGTTCGCGTCTCCGCTCCACATGCAGCTGCTGGGTGACCTTGGGCTAGTCACACTTCTCTGAAGTCTCTCAGCCCCACTCACCTCAACAGAGTGTTTGTTGTGGGGGAGGAAGGGAAAGGAGAATGTTAACCGCTTTGGGACTCCTTCGGGTAGTGATAAAGCAGGATATCAAATCCAAACTCTTCTTCTTCTTCTTCTTCAGCTATACTCTGCCTCCATGGTCAGAGGCAGTAATGTTTATGAATAATACTAGCTGTTAGAAACCACAGGAAGAGAAAGTCTTCTCGTGCTCAGGTCTGACTTGCAGTTTTCCCACAGACATCTGGTTGGCCACTGTGAGAAAAGGATTTTGTACTAGATGGGACATCTGGCCTGATCCAGCACTTTAGTAATATGGCGCCTCGAGCAAGGACAAAATTTGGTGACCCACCCTAAATATTTCTTATTTTCGCAACAATTCCTTTTGGTACAGTTGCTTTATAATGGATCTTTTCAATAGGTCCACTGAAACTTCACATTATTGCAAAAACATAAGATGTGTAATTATGCACCCTCTCAGTCAGGGCCCTGTGGGGGGGACCACCAGCACCACCCTAAATCTGGTGCTGGATCCACCATGCCCTTCTTATGTTTTTTAATCTGCTTCCTGCAAATTCCACCTGTTGGTTCTCATCCTGCTATTTGAAGCATGAGAGAATGAGTTTACTCCAGTCTTAGAGTGTCCAAAGGGCTTCACATAACATTATCACAGTATTCCCAGCAATGGGCTTGTAAATTAGGTCACAACTTACCTGCCATGCGCTCTATGTGGGGCTACCTTTGAGGGTGACCCAGAAACTACAACTAATCCAGAATGCGGCAGCTAGACTGGTGACTGGGAGCGGCCGCCGAGACCACAGAACACCGGTCTGAAATACCTACATTGGCTCCCAGTACATTTCTGAGTGCAATTCAAAGTGTTGGTGTTGACCTTTAGAGCCCTAAACGGCCTTGGCCCAGTATACCCGATGGAGCGTCTCCACCCCCATCGTTCTGCCCGGACACTGAGGTCCAGCTCTGAGGACCTTCTGCTGGTTCCCTCACTGCAAGAAGTGAGGTTGCAGGGAACCAGGCAGAGGGCCTTCTTGGTAGTGGCACCAACCAGCAGCTCCAGGGAGCAGGGTACTCGGGATTGCTCTGTTCAACAATACCATAAAATGTAATCACAAACATTTGGGGTCACTGCTTTAAAAAATGGTAAATCCCGCTCTATTTCTCACATATGTCTTTTTTTCAACAAAGCACTATGTGGTTCATTCAAGGATATGTTAGGAAATCATAGAACAAGAATCAAAAGAGAGAAAATGCCTTTTGAAATAAAAGCATAAGTGATGGCTCATTGTCATTCTTTATTTTTAATCTATTCCTTTTCCTTGGTATGTGGTTTTTGGATGGGATGAAAATGAAGGAAGAGTTAAGGGAAAGCAGAAGTCATGCCTGGTTGCAAGAAACTAACCACTTCCACAATGTGCATTTCCTAAATCATCTACATCAGGTTGGCGACTTAATGAGCCAAAGCTTAACTACGTGTGAGCTGGAATTACTCAGGAGAGAGAGAAAGAGGAAGGATATTATTATTTGTATCCTGAATTGTTGTAACATTACATTTCCTCAAGTGTTTATGCAAAATAGGCCCAGATGATGTAGGCCAATATGAGGTTTTTATTATACCATTTCAAAATATAAACATAGTATATACATCACTAAATGGAAATGGTTACTAAAATGTCCTAAGGGCTTACATAGGCTTTTTTTTTTTTTAGTATAAAATACATTGTTTCCATTGAGAATGCATGTACTTTGCCATTTTTAGAAGCAAAATATATGGAAATAGTGTGTGTTCTTATGCCTGCCATCACTACTGTTTATTTTCTGGGGAAAGCTACAGTTTAAAAGTGTGTGGGGCACATTAAATTGATTTTTATAGCCCCAAACAAAAAGTGAGCAATTACATTTCACAGAAATCTGAGAATTCACAATCACAGTATTGGAAAGGTCTTGAATTCCCATGTGGGCAAATGGTCTTATTTTGCATTGCAGCTGGAGCAGAATCTAGTACAAATGGTACAGCAGCTCTTTCTAGGAATAAATTGCAGCAAGACCAAAAGAAAGAAAAAACAGCCTTAGAATTATAAGGCTTTATGGGGCACCAAAAGAGTTACTAAAAGAGTCTCATTCATGTCCCAAGCTCTGGAGAAAAAACACCCAAAAAAAAAACATTAGCCACTATACATGGAAGCGAAAGCTTGTTGAAATGTTTACATCAGTATAGAAAAAGGAGAGGCACGAATGATGCAACACAGTCCTAACTCCCAGTCTGAGGGAGCAATTTTTTCTGTCCCTTTGATTCCACTGATTTTGGAATAGACACAGAGCTGTGGTGGCTGGATCCCAGATGCAGATTGCCTCCTCTTTCTTAATCAGATTGATGATTTGATGAGCAGAGAGGAAGAAATAACTCCCCGTCCCTCTGAGAAGGGAGGTGTGTGTGTGTGTGTGTGTGTGTGTGTGTGTGTGTGTGTTTGTGTGTAGATTGGGATGTGTTCACCAACAGTGACACACCCCTGTTTTGCTAATGTGTGAACATGTGTCCTCCTGGGAATGTGTCTAATCAAAAGTAGCTTGAGATTCTTTTAAGTGAATGTGAAATGGCATTGTGCAGGATGTAGTTGTTTAGGTCTCCGTAAATCTCCACGCAATCACATCGCTCGGCAAGTGGATGGGTCATGTGGTACAGCACTTTCCCCACAAGCATTTAATCCAAAGTGCTCACATCCAGTCTCCCAAGAATCCTTGAGTGCTTCCATCGGAAAACTAATTTGTATGATTAAGCCTGTGCTACTTGCCACCCACTTTCGTGCTCGCTCACAACAACATGCGCTCATAAGAGATCTCCAGATTTGTCTCTTCCCTTTGGATTGTCTCAGTGGTGAAAAGGCTGATGAAATCCTGACTGTCTTCTTTCAGTGTCTTCTTCCCATCAGATGCCGACTGTGCAGGAAGCCACAAGAAGCTCCTTCTCAATCACTTTTTAATTTATTCACACAGTAGACATGTAGAATTTGTGGAAACTATGCAATAGCAAGACCAGAAACATTCTGCTACAGCACTCTAGCTTCTCAGCTGATGTAGCTGTGGTGGACTTAGGGCAGGCGTAGACAAACTCCAGCCCTCCAGAGGTTTGGGACTACAATTCCCACCATCCCTAGCTAACAGGACCAGTAGTCAGGGATGATGGGAACTGTAGTCCCAAACATCTGGAGGGCTGGAGTTTGCCTGTGCCTGACTTAGGGCTTTAAAATTTTAGTGGCAAAATTCGACAAATACCCACACATTGATGCAGCCCCCCCTGCAGCCCCCTCTCACCTCAGCACCCAGTGAGGGTGAACCAGTAGCAGTCCCTAAAGTTGCTTCTGGGTATAGTCTAATGTAAAGAAATGGTAAAGACTGTATGCAATGGTTTAGTCATGCTACATATGGCCCTAATCTACTGTGGATGGAAATTGGGGTGGAACAGAGTGTCCAATCTTCCTTGCTATCCTTTGAAGTAATCCTTGCTTACATTGGACATTCATTTCAGCCCCACTGCCCTCCATGAGTCAGAGGAACAGCTTCTGAAATGTAGGGTGTTGTGTGGGCTTCCCACAAGGTTTAGCATCGGCGGGGAAGTCCTTCATGAATGAGCATCAACCTAGACCTTACAGGATGAAATCTTCTGTTTCAGGGTCAGGGGGTTCAGGCAGGAGGATAATTCAGGTAGGCAAACCCACAACTCACATCCAGAGTCATCCATTCCCCGCCCAACTCCTACCTTCTCCCAGGAAGATGCAGCTGGTTAGGTAGGTCTCTCTGCCTCTTTGCCATTTTCTCCTTTTCACTTCCCACTGCCAGCCTCTCCTTCTTGCCTGACAGCCCTGGATGGTTCTGGGCCACTTGACCCACGTTGATCAAGAGCTATCTGAATCTGACTCCAGTGATGTCTGGATCCCCCTGAAATAGCCTCAATTTGGTTTGGACACCATCTGAATTTGATGCGCAGCAATATTAAATAACCATTTGGATTTTATATTGAAGAGTCTGAATTCTCTTTAGCTTTCCTGATGAAAGTTTCTGCTCTAGCTTTAATTCCACCCAGCTAATCTACAAAAGCCCACCAATACCATTGCTTTAAAAGAAAAAAACACAACCACAAGCTCCTGCATTCATGTGTGAAATAAAAATCTTATAATGTACCTTGTTCCTTCTAGGAGGAATGTTGAAGGAGAGTTGCAAACATTTTATATTAGACATGTGTGCTTCCTTGAAAGATATAATATATACCCTCTAGGGAACAGAAGTATTCACTGAATACCAACTTTCCAATAATCAAAGGGCATTTCTGAGCAGCAACCTTTATAACCCAGCATTTCTGAATCTGATGCACAGTTATTGATTCACTTCTTCGTCTTTTGATTTGAGATTTCTTTTAAAAAGGTATAGTATTCAAGCATTTAAAAAATAAGTCTGTACAAATATAATTAACTCCCCAAATGGTTGGAAATGAACTTATTGTCATTGACCAAAATAAAATGGAAAGCAGGGCCGTAGTCAGATTATGGGACAAAAAAAGAGTGGAGCTCTTCTAATGAATTTAGTTTAACCAAATCATGCCCCTGCCCTTAAACTTCTAAAAGCAGTAGCTAAGGAAGCCACAAGCAAAAGTGAGATGGTTTTGGCCTCTCCTGTAATTCAAGCACTGAAGTGAGGGTGGCTGACAGCTCAATGGTTCATTGTACGTTTCCTATATCAAAGATTCCAGGTTCAACGCCCAGCATCTCCTGTTTATTATTACTGTTACTATTTACTACACTTGCAAATCAATCACTGAAGTCCTCTGGATGGTTTACAACAGGGGTGGGGAACCTCAGGAGCCAAATAACTTTGTAGGCATGACATTGGATGTGAACACACAGCACATACCAAGCCTAAGGTTTCCATGGTCATGGGTGAAGCTCTACTTATATTTCTTAGTGTCTATTAGGGTGGGGAACCTCAGGCCACAGGGACAAAAACAGCCCTCCATGCCTCTCTATCTGGCCCTTGTGATTCTCCTGAGATTGCACCTGCTCCCCAGCCACCCATCCTCCTCTCTGGCCACAACCATCTCTGGCCCTGCTTCACATCCTCCTAGAGTGTTTCTGCTTGGCTGGAACATGTCTTTGAACTCTAATTGTACCTGTTAGTTGTCTGGATTGATGACAGAAAGGTTGTGCCTAAGTGTGTGTGGAAATCAGCCTACTGTACAAAATTTGCATTTCTTGCTCCACCCACTTTTGCCTCTGGCTCCTCCCACCACTGGCATGTGGTCCACAGAAGAAGGGAGGAAATGAGGCCTTCAGATTCTAGGGCCTGAGGTTCTCCATCCCTAACGTACAATGAGGAATCTAAGGCAGCTTCCTATATGCCCTTAGAACCCCTAGATTTGGTCGGTGCAAGGCCTGCGCATGGAGCACCATGTCCCAAAAGGTCCTACTTAGCAAAACCTGTGCCTTCCAAGATGAGCTGTCCTGAGCCATGTGAAATCTTAATGACTCCTTTCTCAAGACAGAGCAGAGGAAAGGTGCACGAAAGAAAAAGTATTGTTCCCTTTCTTTAAAAAGCCTTGAAATATGTTCAAAAATATTTTATGAGGTCACACTAAAAAAAAGAATAATTGGAAGAAAAATTCTGCTTGTCTAAGCGAAGAGCACATTTGTAGCGGTAGGGTAAATGTTTTATCGATTGAGAAACTGGGAAACTCGAGTCATTACTCACCATGGGCTAAAGAATAATTGCTAATGCTCTGGCGGAAAGATTAAAAACAGTTTCTGGAAGTATTTCTTACAATGATCAATGGTGTATCATCCCAGGCCATTGGATCTTCAATAACATTTTTCCCTTTTGGGATGCAATCAATTTTTATAATATGATTCATTTGCCAGTGGGCATGCTTTCTTCAGACGATGAAAAGGCACTTATGTGCCTTATATTGTTGAGAAGTAATCATATATTGCCAGGGCCAAGGCAGAGATAGAAAAGATCCACCTGCATTCATCTCTATTTTTTTATAAGTGGGTTTGGGAAATAGTTGCGGGCATGGCTGCTGGCTTTTTTATTGTTTCCCATTTCATTCCTTAGCCACTTACTCTGGTGCTCTCTCTAAATAAATGATAACCATGAGGTAAAGAGTTCAGCAGATCTTCAATTAGACCATCTTGCTGACCTCTGAGTATATAACATTTTCCGTCAGCTGCTGTGGTGGCACAACAAGGTCTGGATTCTAAAGCCTCTGGTTCTTCCCCATTTGCAGTCTATTGTGACAGAGATTAGATCTTGGTCTTTATTTTGCAGTAGCGTAAGGGAGGAGAAAAATTTGAGTTTGGAAAACTTCCCAAAGAGATTTTATGCACATAATTCAAATGAAAATTTAGCACATCACCGCAGACTAGTTATCTTGATAGATTCCCAGAGGCACTAATTGCATCCCAGAGTATCAGATTGCTCTTCTGTCACTGTGGGTGGGCAGGAGGACAGTCAATAGTTCACTATGCATAGGGAATGGGGAGATATGCATTGCCTGTGGAGCTCAGCAACAGAAAGAGCACTTGTGCAACAATATCCAATGCAGTAAGAACAACTTCAGGAACTGGGCAAGGGAGACCATGCCAGATGCAAAGCCTTTAAAAAGTTCACTGAAGTGATGGAGATGCCATTCTTGAGGTTCTCCATCCAATGACAGCATCTCCTGAAGTTCCTGGTGCCCTCAACTCCAATTGTCCACAGATGTCCAGCAGGTGGCAACAGCTCAGTGAATTCACAGCTCAGTGCTTTCTTGTTGACATCTGAAGACTGTCCTTACTTCCTGTTCATGCCATCAAAGTTTCCTGAAGCAGCAAGAAGGAACCTCTACTGAATGAACTCCTTGGGGGGTAGGGGGGCGAATGTGAGTGTGTGCATAAAGAGCAGTGGGGATGTTGAAAGTAAGAGTTTGGAAGCCAGTATCAAGAGTGATTGTGCACATCACTGTCTTGTGCAGCAGGGCTTCAATCCTCTCCCCTTCTCCCATGCACCCCCAAATTGGCTCGGGGTGTATAGAATAGCGCAACATGGAATTTGACCCCAGACTCCTGTGCCTTGAACAGCCGTTCCTCCAACAGCAGAAATACTTGACTCCACATGGTAAGTGTGAGATTGTCTGGGACTGGAGGGGGAGAAGCAACAATGGCTGCTGTTTGCATAATTCCATTCCCCCTGCCTGCAGCCATGTTGTGTCATGCAGGGACAGCCCACCTATGAGGCAAGGTGAAGCAACTGCCTTAGGTGGCAGCATCCACAGGGGCCGCAGACCCCCAATGTCAGTGTTTCTTTCTCTGTCCTCCCTTCCTGATGTGCATCCTCCCTCACCCCTTCTTCCCTGGCAGGGTGTGAGGAACCATTTTTGGGCCTGCCTCAGGTGCTCAAATGTTCTGGGCCAGCCCTGGTGTTATGCCCATACCTGTCTACTTACAGATTTGAAAATAAGGGATCCGCAGCCCAAATAAGGGATTTTCCAGGCACAGGTATGTTCAACTTCTGAGCCCCTCCGAGCCAAAGGCAAACAGCCCAGCCAGCAGCCAAATGAAGCCTAAAGCAGTGGTTCCCACAGCACAGCAACCCGACAAAGGGGATGCAGCAAGGAAAACCACTTCACCTTTCCACTGGGAAGTGCTGAGCAAAGGCAAGTCCCCAGGCAACGCGGCCGATTTGATCGGCACAAGGCATACACGCTCCACCCCCCAGTCGTTCTTAGACTCCTTATTGGGTGAGCATCGCAGCCAAGCAACACAGTTGGAGCCTCCCTCCTCCCTGGCCGGCAGGGAGGGAGGGAGGGAGAGGAGCTGCTTCCTTTGAAACTCAGGAAATTTAAAGGACATCATCAATAAGGGAGAGCAGCGGGACACGGCACTGGGATAAGGGACTTTCCCGCCAAATAAGGGACTGTTGACAGCTATGGTTATGCCTTGCCCCAACCTTCCAGGGCAGCCATTTTGTGACTGGGGCCCACAGCACTTAGAAAATAGTCCTACTGATCCAAAATGGTTAGGGACCCCCCTGCCGTCATGATTTTGCAAACTCCTCCTCTCTACTTCCTTATATCAGGATCTGTGGCTTCATACTGGAGCAAGTGCCTGCAGCCTAATTCTTCATAATCTAAAATCACTGGAGGGGGGGGGATCTGTTTATTAATTATTGAAATAACTGAAATAGCACTGAG